GAACTCTCCCTGTTGACTGTCATTTTGTCTGGGCTCAATGCTTAAGATGCATCCTCAAGAGTTTTATGTTTTAGTCTCTTGCTGCTTTAAACATTTAGATGATCCTTATCTCTGTTTAAACTTGTATCTGTGACACTTTATTGGCCTTGTCTTAAAGCTGGTGTCTAAAATGCCGCAAAACATTTTGAAAAATAAAATATTCCTTTTTTGTTTTGTTTTATTCTACTAGATAGCTCCCTATTTCCCAGAGAACTAGGGGGATTACAAAAAAGAAAAAGTCAAAATACTCACTCATAGTCACTGTTAACATTTTGTTATATTTCCTTTTAGATGTTGTTTCTGATTGTGAATTCACTTTAACATAGTTTACATAATCCCATAGAGGACATATCTTATTTGCTGTGATGAAGAACTGAATTTTATACTTTGGTTTATTGTCACTGTTTTCTTCGCAGGTGAATTTCCAATCATCAGCCCTGGTCGGGTATATGAATACACAAGTTGTACCACTTTCTCTACAACATCAGGATATATGGAAGGATATTATACCTTCCACTTTCTTTACTTTAAAGACAAGATCTTTAATGTCGCCATTCCCCGATTCCATATGGCATGTCCGACATTCAGGGTGTCTATAGCTCGATTGGTAGGTTAAATTTTCCTCTGGTGCTGATTTACATGACTTTGTAAAATTAACTCCACAGAGGGTCTTTGTTGAGTAGCCAGACAAATAGTTTATAAATTGTGTTCCAGAGAACCCTAGAAATTTTGAGGGAAGTATCTTGGAGAGGGGTGGGATGTGTGAATATGTTGAGGGAAGTGGACAATAAGTAGCTAGGCTTCATATTCTTCAATCAGAGTAACTCTACTGCTATCTGTTTTTGTTTGTTAGTTGATTTTTTATAGACCTTGTTTTTTAGAGCAGTTCGAGATTCACATCAACACTGAGCAGAAGTTAGAGATTTCCTGTGTATCCCCTGCCCCCATACAATATCTCCCACCAGAGTAGTACCATTATTACAACTGATGAACCTACAGTGACACATTATTAACACCCACAGTCCGTAGTTTACATTAGGGTTCACTCTTGGTGTTGTCCATTCTTTGGGTTTGGACAGATGTATAATGACATGCATCCACTGTTAATATCATATAATTATTGGTTTTAAAAGTTCAGCCTCTCTTCTGTTTCCAAAAATACTTCTGAGCTAAGGAGAAACCATGTTAGACCAGCTATAATCTGCTTTATTTCATTAAGACTGGGAACACAATTTCTTACAGTGTTTTTGCTAAAACTCCCACTTTTGTAAAATAATACAGATAACCTATAGAAATCATTACAAAGAGGATTTAATAGGTAGACTTGTAATTTTAGTAGTCCTTCTTTCGGATCATTTCCTAAGTCAACTAGGTATATTTTTAAAATCTCATTTTAGGGTTACCTTAGGACAGGTATAGCAGTAATTCCAATCTTCTGGGCTATAAAATGATAAGAGAAAATTATGAGGCTCCAGTTGTAGAATAGGAATAAAATATGAATTGTATACCCAGAAGAATGTAATTTGAGTTGTAGGTATCAAATGTTCAGTAAAAGCTCCCTGGCTCCTGCGATAACCCTGATGAGTGGGTCTAAAATAAGTCTGGGAAGATGAACATGATATTAATCTGACCCAGACTTGACACATTCCCAATTCCAGTTTAGAGCAAGAAGGATGATGAGGAGACTTGAGGCCATTATACTTATGGTATGTCCGGTGAAAACAATCTACAATCTGGAAGTGAAGCTTAGCTTCCCTCCCAGTGAAGGAATGCTTTCTACTGTGTATTTCCAGTACTGGGAGCTTGCTACTTCTCTAACAGTCTTCCATTTTTTACTAGCCCAGTTTCTATATGAGGTTGGTATCATCTTTATCCTTAAATGTTTGATATAGTTTATCAGTGAAGTCAGCCGGGGCTGGAGCTGTCCTTGTGGAAAAGTTTTGAAATATAAATTTAATTTCTTTAATATTCATATTTTCTGTTTCTTATTTCACTTTTTGTCATTTGTGTCTTTTAAGGAATTTGTCCATTTTGTCTAAATGTTGAATTTATCGGCATAAAATTATTTATAATATTCCTTTGATAATCCTTTTAATAGCTGCAAGAGCTATAGTCATGTCTTTTCTTCATAATATTGGTAATTTATATATTCTCTTTTGTTCATCAGTTTAGCTAGGGGGTTTTCACTTTTATTGATCATTTAAAGGAACAACTTGGTTTCACTGATTTTCTCTTACTCATTTTCTATTTTCATTGATTCCTGCAGTTACCTTTATTTTTCCCATACTTTGGGTATAATTTGCTTTTTTTCTAGCTTCTTAAGATAGAAGTTTAGATTATTAATTTTAGACCTTTTTTCCTCTTTTACTGTTTTAGCTGCATTTTATAAATGTTGATGCATTTTCATTAACATTTAATTCCAGATATTCTCAGATTTTCCTTGTAATTTAATTTTGATCTGTGACTTTTCTAGAAATGTGTTAATTTCCAAACATTTGGAGATTTTCCAATTATCTTTTGGTTATTGATTTCTAAATTTGTTATGGTTAGAGAACTCGCTATGTATAATTTCAATCCTTTTAAATGTATTATGGCCCAGAATTATGGTCTATCTTGGTAAATAATCTTTGTGTATTTGAAAAGAATGTATATCCTGCTATTTTGGGGAATATTATTCTATAAATGACAGGTCAAACTGATGTACTGTTTTTTAAGTCTTCTATATATTTACTGATTTTTTTGGTCTTTGTTCTCTGAGAGATGATTGTTGTAATCTCCGATTATAATTACAGTTTTGTCTATTTCTCTTTAATTCTATCAGATTTGCTTCAACTATTTTGAAGCTTTCTGATTATATGCAAGAATACTTAGGATTGTGATGTCTTTTTCATGAAGTGCTTTTATTGTTATGAAATCTCTCGCTATCTCTGACAATATTCCGTGTCCTAAAGTTGCTAATATTCCTGACATAAAGTGTAAAGAGTGTTGAGAGTTGTTTGGGCAGGCAGTTGTTATTGGGTCAGCTTGATCATGTTGAGGCTTGTTTTTAATGTTTGTTAGGGTGTGTATAAAGTAGTCTTTACTTAAGAACAGTCATTCTCTAACTTTTCGGTCTCATGACCCCCTTAAGCTCTTACAAGTTATTGGAGATTCCTCAAAAAAATTAAAAATAGAACTACCATACTACCCAACAATTCCACTTCTGGGTATTTATGCGAGGAAATAAAAAACACTAATTCAAAAAGACATATGCACCTCTTTGTTCATTGCGGCATTATTTACAATAGCCAAGATATGGAAGCAACCTAGATAGATGAATGGATAAAGAAGAAGTGGTACATATATACAATGGAATATTACTCAGCAATAAAAAAAGAATGAAATCTTATCATTTGCAACAACATGGATGGACCTAGAGAGTATTATGCTAAGTGAAATAAGTCGGACAGAGAAAGACAAATGCCGTTTGATTTCACTTACATGTGGAATCTAAAAAACAAACAAAACAGAAACAAATTCATAGATACAGAGAACAAACTGATGGTCGCCGGTGGGGCGGGGTGGGTGAGGATGGGTGGGGGGTTAGATGAGTGAAAAGGTGAAGGGATTAAAAAGTACAAACTGCCAGCTATAAAATAAGTCACGGGGATGTAAAGTACAGCATAGGGAATATAGTCAATAACATTGTAATAATTATGTATGGTGACAGATGGTTACAAGACTTATTGTGATCACTTCGTACTGTATATATATATATATATATATATATGTATGTGTGTCTAATCACATTGTTGTACACCTGAAACTAATATAACATTGTATGTCAACTATAATTAAAAAAAGTTATGAGGACTCCAGAGAACTCTTGCTTATGTGGGTTATATTGAAATTTATCATGTTAGAAATTAAAACTGAGAAATTTTATAATATTTACTTATTCCTTTTTTAAAGTTTAAAATTTTTAAATTTATAATTTTAAATTACAATAATAAACTCATTACATGTTCAACCCTCTTTTAACTATGTTCTTACTTATTTAGAGTTTTAGTGTCTTCCCAACCACAAATAGTATAAAATTTTGACCTGCCTTGTGGAAAATATTTTTTCTGTCTTAGGGATGAGAAATCAATAAAAATAAATGAGAATTCTGGACTTATTTCTAATCAACGTGAAAGAGGCAGTGGGGATTGTTTTTGTATTGTGTTGTATTGGTGTTGTACCTTTCCTGTTTAAATATTAGTTTTCTTGATATGGGAGTTGAATTGTTCTCCTTTTGTGTCTTCTAACAATATGATTAATTAGGAGGCTTAATCCTTCCTTTTGCTTTATATTTTGCATGCCACTTTAAAATACACTTTCAGTTGGTCTTAAGCCTTTTCTTGGTCTAGGTGGTTTGTTGTTGTTTGTTTTTAGACACTTTAGAGGCTCCTGTTACTGATTTATTTCCATTCTCATCTGTGCATTCCTCTTTCAACCTGCTGTTTATATACGTACATTTTATCTGTGATATCAGCAATCTGCCTCTTTAGCCACATTGATTTCTTTAACAATATTTGTTTCTTCTTCATTAAGATAATTAATAATCATACTACCTGGATTGAATGTTTTAGAATTTTCTAAGCCTTTCCCCCTTCCCCTTTTGGGCCTCCTACTGAATTTTAAAGTCTGTTTCCCTGGATTAAAAAAAAAAAAA